TTCCTGGAGGGGGCGAGGCATCCCCGACGTGATGACGTCACGTTGGGGACGTCCGCTGCCCCACCCCCCATTGGATCTCCAGAAACGGCAGTTCCCTGCACTTAAAAGAGCCGGCTTTTCCCCTTTAAGAGCAGCCGCGTTTCCCCTTTAAGTGCACGAAGCTGGCATTTCCCTGCAAGCCTAATCTCAAGCAAAGATCGGGCTTGGGAGGAAACTCGGGCTTGGGAGGAAACACGGGTTCCACACACTTGTAGGGAGAGAGAGGGGTGGCTGTGGGTGTTGGGGGCGGGGCTTCCCCCGCTGGCCATCTGGCCGGCAGCAGGTAGAACCCCCCCAAAACGGGGGACCCGAACCCCCCTGTTTGCCAACCCTATGGGAGACCCGTGGGTGTGGGCGGAGCAGGGGAAGTGGAGGCTGTGCTTGTTGCCCACAACCCCCAGCCTTCCGATATAATTTATAATCAGGAATCACTGTATCCTGCTGATTTTCCTCATCCCACCAAGTTTCTGAAATACCCACAATGTCTATTCCGCCCCCAACACTAAGTATTCCAACTCCCCGATTTTACCTCGAACACTACTAGCATTTGTATATAAACACCTATAATTTCCCGTGCATGTTAAGCCCACAGCCTTCCTCTTCCTGCCTCGAGACCTTGTCAGGCAGTCCATATCGTTAGCCAGTGGACAATTCTAATCCTTTTCCTTGTAGTAGAGAAGTAACAGCTACCCCTTCATCTCTTTGAGATGAGCCACCCCAAACCAGAGACTTTTAATCTCCTGTCAACTTCCCCCAATATTCAGTTTAAAAACTGCTCTGCCACCTTTTTGATTTTAAGCACCGGCAGCCTGGTTCCTTCTCAGGACAAGTGGAGACTGTCTCTTTTGTACAGCTCCCTCTTGTTCCAAAAAGCATCCCAGTGCCTAACAAACTTGAACCCTTCCCCCCTACACCATCGTCTCATCCACACATTGAGACTCCTGATCTGTGCCTGTCTCTCTGGCCCTGCGCGTGGAACAGGTAGCACTTCTGAGAAGACTACCTTTGAGGTCCTGGCCTTGAGTTTCATGCCCAACAGCCTAAATTTTTCCTCCAGGACCTCACGACTGCATTTCCCCACATTGTTGGTGCCCACATGTACCACGACCAGTGGCTCCTCCCCAGCACTATCTACCAGCCTATCTAGAACACGTGTAATGTCCACTAACTTCACACCAGGCAGACAAGTCACCATACTGTCAGTACATGGGTTCCCCACCTAGCTGTCTACCTGCCTAAGGATCAAATCATCAACTACCAAGAGCCTCCCTCCCTCCCTGCCAAGGGATGGTTCCTTAGTGCAAAAGGATACCCGTTCACCAGCTGCAGAAGAGGTCCCTTCTGAGGCCATATTCCCCTTATCCTCAGCACAGTGCCCGGTTTCCCCTCGACCCTCATGCTTCCTGACTGTGGTGGGGCTGCCCTATTCAGAGTGGGACATATCTAACAAGTCCCCAAGGGTCTTCTCCATGTGCCTAACTGACTGTCTCCGCTTCTCTAAGTCAGCCACCTTGGCCTCAAGGGAGAAAACACATTCCCTGAGGACCAGGAGCTCCTTGCACCTGGCACACACCCATGACTTCTGTCCAGTAGGCAGATAGTCATACATGTGACACTCTGTGCAAAAACACTGGATAGCCCCCAACCCCCTGCTGGCATTCTGGCTTAATAATTGCTTTCAAAATAATTATATATAATCCCCCTTTTAAAACCCTCTGTATTTATGTGGTTCTCCTTGTGGAAAGTCTACTTACCTTACTGGGAACACAAGGAGACTCGGGCCCTGGTCTGGCTCTTCCTGGGCTTCTTACAGAGCCCCTTTGGCTCTCACCCTTTGGCTTGTGCCTCTGGTGAGGTGCTGCCTTAAATAGAAGCCTCATCCAGCAGAGGGCAAGGCCAGCAGTTATTGAAATTCATTCAAGCAATCCAATTACAGTCGAACAATGGCCTTTTCACCCCATCTCAAGCAGCCAGAACTCTGCAACAACTCAAAACTCACCCACACACTCCCAAACACAGTCCTCCCACACAGTACCCTCAGCTAAATCACCTCAACTGAAAGCAAATAAAAAACACTCACCGCTCTAGTAGCTCTGTCTCCTGCTCCTTCTCAGAGCTCAGCTGGGTCCCTGTTGGTGTTTCCAATGCTGGAAAACACTACCTCCATGGTTTAGCATTTTCACAGCAGAGTTTCTGGGTATGTTTCTGTTTTCTGAGCTGCCCCCAAATGCTTGGAGATTTCTTTGAAGACTACATGTGTGCCAAACATCACCTCCTGAGCCCCGATCCGGCCAGAATTCGGCCAGAATTTTGGCTTGTCATGCGGTTCGTGCCCATCCCTACTCTAGAGTATACTGTCACTCAGCATGGAACCGCCTTGACCATGGCTGGCCCCCGCATCAAATGAAAATCAAGAAGGTGGCATTGTCTCATTTCCACACCCAATGATATCTGGCAGCTTGGAACCACATATGTTTTCCCATAATCAGCTGTGTTGGAAAAGTGGTTGGGGCTGTTCTATAAAATAAGTGTCATATGTTGCAGGTCAACAATATCTCCAGCATTGTGTGGCAGCTGGAAACTTTTGATGAAAACAATGTGCTGGCAACACGAAGGGAAATTGACAAACTCCGCAAACAACTGGCTGATTGTGAAGAATCTGCTGGGAACCCGAACTTTGGCCTACCTTCTGCTGGCCTCACACGTCCTGAGATTGGTGAGTGCCGCTGACATTTGGTGGTGGGGATTGTTGTTGTGGGCTGGAATTGAAAACTGTTCATAGATTTCTTGGCATGTTTCATGCCACTGATGTGCAAGTATGTCACCACTCACCACCCAGCTTAATGGAGTTCCTCTTCATCAATGACACACATAACATCCTCAGTGTACATACATAGGGATGCCAGTCTCATGGAATATTTACGGTTATTGAAACCTTGCCTTCATCCTAGACCTATTTGTCTTACCTTTTCCTCACTGGACCAGTTCCCAATTGTACCAATTCCTAACCAGTTCCCTACAATACTGTCATACTGAGCCCTTTTCACGCCCATGGCTGTGCAATTCTACAGTTAGAATTTCAGGAAGAAAATGTATAATAAATGACATGTCAATCATGGCAAGAAGGAAGCGTTTGGCAGTGTTACGCAGAAAATATATATATTGGGGACGAAGGAGTCTAGGCTGACCCAATCATAGACTGGTGGGATATAACTCTTTTCCAAAAGGAATGAGGTAAGACAAGAAGTCTTTGACACTGTTGTCACAGTAAACAAAAGGATGCAGTCAAGGGAAGCAGCGTTATAGCAATGGGGGGTGTAATTCTCCTTCTGTTCCCTTTTTTTCCTTGGCAGGAAGTTGTGATAACAAAATCTTATTGAATGTTAGCAAGCCATTCATAGTGAAACTCAACTGGCGAGGCTTCAGTTACAAATACGGCAGTTGGGGCAAGGACTTTGCCTTGGGGACCAAGAATCCAGGCACATACTGGGTTGCTCCACTCAACACAGATGAACGTTTAATGGAGACCTATCGCACCTACAGCAATTATAAGGACCTACTGTTATACAAAAACCAAGTGGAAAGAAGCCTTTCCCAACACATTGGGCTCACCTGGAACTACATCAACTGCGGACAGGGAAGCGGGATGATTTTGTTCAACAACAGCCTCTATTACAACTGCTACAACTCCAGGAACCTGTGCAAGCAGAATCTGGCAAACAACCACATTAAACGTGAGAAAGTGGATGATGCTGTTTTCAACAACTGGTTCTCCTACAGCGGTGTCAATTGGCAGGACTTTGATTTTGCTGGTGATGAGAAGGGCTTGTGGGTAACTTATTCCACAGAGAAGAGTAAAGGGAAGCTAATCATTGGGAAAGTAAATCCTAAGACTCTAAAAATACTGAAGACTTGGGAAACCTCACTGAACAAGCCTGAAGTGACCAACACGTTCATGATCTGTGGGGTATTATATGCCCTCAAGCGAGTGAGTGCACATAAGGAATTAATATTTTATAAGTATGACACCAATACAGGCAAAGAAAACACATTAGACATTATAATGGAGAAACTATCAGACACAGCGCAAAGTGTGAGCTACAACCCCAATGATCACAAGATATACATGTACAATGATGGCTACCTGGTGACTTACGACATGATGTTCAACTATCAGCCTCCAAGAACAAGGCGCAGTGTGCCTAGCGATGAAGGGCAAGGGGCTCTTGTTGTAGCTAGTGGAGGCAGGCAACAACTTGCAATGGTATGACAGAGAGCTAAGGACAGGCTTGGCTATAACTCATCTACTGGCAGTATAAAAATGTATAAATAAAACCAGAAACATATATGGCAAATATCCGTAGTACTTATATGGGTGTACATGGTGTTGCAGATTTAATTCATAATTTCTAAAAACAAATGTAGGTTGGTTTCAGGTGCAGCTATTGCTTTCATCAAGACAGAAACAGGCACTAATGTTTTTTTCCTGGCACCCACTTGCTTCTTCCCCTGTTCCTGGTTTGAAAGCCAGTTTGGTGTAGTGGTTAAGAGCGGTGGACTCTAATCTGGAAGAACTGGGCTTGATTCCCCACTCCTCTACATGCAGTTGCTGGGGGACCTTGGGTCAGTCAAAGTTCTCTGAGAGCTGTTCTCTCAAGAGCAGTTCTCACAGAGCTCTCTTAGCTCCACCTACCTCACAGGGTGTCTGTTGTGGGGAGAGGAAGGATATTGTAAGCCGCTCTGAGACTCTGAGACTCCGAGTGAAGGGTGGGGTATAAATCCAATCTCCATCTCCTCTTCCTCCCTAAAGCTAAGAGCCAGCTGTGTATTTCTTC